TCTTCTGGCAGCTTGTTATACAGTGGGGCCTCTTCAGCATGTGTCACCTCCTCCTCTGGTGATGCTCAAAAATCTTTGCCTTCTGGCCAGTCCATGATTACCTCCAGTATTCCTGGGCGACTGGGGTTTCCCATTCGGGTGCGCTGGGTGATCAGCACGACCCACTTACTCCACGTAGCTTCGGTGGCATGATGCGTAGAGGGGACCATCTCTTTGAACATCCAGCCCAGGACCGGCAATCGTGGTGCTAGGAGGAGCTGTGCCTCAGTACCCTCAGGTACTGGATACGCCTTTCCATGTTGGTCCACTTGCCTGGATGACATACAACATCCTCACTGAAGGAGTACCTCTCCCTCACGCCTGACAGAAGTCTCCTCCAGAGGCTGATGGCTTGTGCCTTTCTTCCAGTGGTCTTGTCAATGCCCCCTTCCCTGGCCAGGGATCCCAGCTGCTTGGCTTTCTTTCCCTAATTCCAAGCTGCTGGCCCCGTTATCCCAGCACCGCAGCAGCCAGGTGACAATGTGCTCGCCTGGGTGGCGGCTGAAATCTTTCTGCATGTCTCGCAGCTCGCTCAGGGACAGGGACCGGGTGATGATCTCTGTCTCTGCCTCCTTCTCCTGCTGCTGTGATGGCCCTGGCTCATTGTCATACCTCACGGGGCGAACTGATTTCTTTGTGTATTTCTTTTTCTGTATAGCGGTGACTGATACCGACATGGGTTGGTTTTTGGGCTCAGCTGTGGTGCCTGCTGCCCGGTGAGGTGGGGAGGAGAATCGGAAGAAAAAGGCAAAACTCGTGGGTTGGGATAAGGACGGTTCAATAGAACAGCAAAGGAAGCGAACAGTAACAACACCGGTAGTGATCAGGACAAGGGAACACATGGAGCAACTCTCACAGCCCGATGCCTGGCGCACTCCTAAGCCGTGATTAACCTCCCCCCGGCCAGCTCCTCTGCCCAGAACCCAGCATGGTGGGTCACGGTATCGAATACCCTGTTTGTTTGGCCAGTTTGGGTCACCCATCCCGGCTGTGTCCCCTCCTGGCTTCTTGTGAAAATTAACCCTATCCCAGCTGAACCCAGGTCAAGCATGCTTGTTAATTGATTGTTCTTCTTTTAACTAA